ATTACGAGTGCTAAGTTTTTATCTTTTATCTTCAGGACCTTTGTGTCTCTTTTATTTTATTGGTTAATTCATCATCATTATTTATTTACATATTCATTATTTATAATTAGAATATTTATATTTGTAAATTGATATTTAAGATTAATTTTTATATAATTAGGATATTTATATTTGTAAATCGATATTGTAGATTTTTTTTTAATATATACATATATACAGCCTTTTGCAAAAATTATGAGAATTGTTGAAATATCTAAATATCATAATATCAAGTGCATGATGATGGGTAATCCCGCGCGATGCCCTTAGTCCCTTGTCTTTGTAGTTTAGGTTTATTTTTTGACGACGGACTTATCCGTAGTTCTGAACATTTTCTCGATGTAAACAATGAATTATTCTAGCAAATTCGCGTGTTCCGTACAATATATGGATATAGATATTATGATATTTAGATATTTAGACAATTCTCATAATTTTTGCAAAGGCTGTATTGTTTGTAAATACATGTATATATCGGCTTGATGCGAAAGCGTTGTCGATTAATAAACGTAGATGTATAGTAGATGTAGAAAACTGTTATTGTCTACGTAGCTCTCAAATCCGAAGCGCTTCTAGCAATATCCGTACTGGGTGATTGATTTGCGACCAGGCCTGCATATGAATTCGCCAAGGTTGTAAGCCAGTGAGCCCGTGMATTTTTGTTAAGCGGTCATATTTGAAAGTGTAAATAAATAAAGGGAAAACCCGCAGCTCGCCTTTCACTCAGACAAACAGTACAAGTCGTGTTAAATTTATTTACATAACTAAACAAAAGATTATAGAATTAAACCTTTAAGAATTGAATGCTCATAAACATTTTTCACCTTAAATACACACGTGTTTTTCAGAAGGGAATTTAGTCGAACTTTTTTCACGATGGAATTTTGTTTTGAGTCGTTTCGACAAGAACAGTCGCTATCAAGACATTACATGAAAGACCCCAGTCACCGTTCTAGCTCTCGTTGTAAGGTCAGAGCTAGTAAATGTGTAACTGGCCTGTTACATAACGTCAAATCGTCGAGCACGCTTGCGGCTTATTGCMARAAATGCGACAAAGAATGAACTACGACCGTTGTTTGTACCAAAAATAACAAACGCTTTAACTCTATTGGAATACGTGGACCTAAGCTGCTCTAGCTCTTCCAGTGAKGTTGTAGATACCTCAAAGCTTGGAGGAAACAAGAGCTAAGAAAAATGATTTGCAATGGTTCCTCCTAAGATACTTWGGACTTGAACGTCGCTTCAACGACCTTCTGAAGTCTTCGTGAAGTCGGTCATTGCTTCGCATGCAATGGAGAACCCGCGTAGAACACAGAACAATTATTTCTATCAGGGAGGGGAGTCTCGTGGTATTAAAGAAAAAGTTATTTGCTTTTTCATTTTTAAGATAAAATTCTCTTTCTATAACGATAAATATTTGATTGACATTTAAAAGCTATTTTATTAAGATCTTCAATTTCTCTTTGCGTTTTAGCTTCGATTTTTTTAATAGAATGAAATGACAGGCAGCCTACTCCTGAAGGTTGAGTTTTKCTGTGCAAATTCYTCCCGTCGGAGGGTTATGTTTACAACATAAGCTTGTMAGCTTTGCGCTGATTGGCTAGTCGCATTTTCTCAAATCACCCAGTACGAATTGCACATCACAATAAATGAAAAATTCTTTTTGTATTTGCGAGTGTGTCAGTTTAAATCACTCAAAATTAACAGTTAAAAAAAGCTAACAAACAGACAAAACAAATAGCTAATTCATTTCACAAAGTTCTAGATATATTTAGATAAACACGGGGCGCGAAACATGGGAGGTTCGTTAAGTACATTGCGGATGTCTCATGGGGAAACTTCCAGTATATAATTGTCTTAGATCTTTTTACCGTGTGCAAGCGTTAAGCTCACTTTGTGAGGACTTTTCATCACTCGAAAATAAAATCCTTATATCTCTGCGTACCCCTGTAATACATTGTATCCTCTACTATATTTCACGGCAAAATTCTATACACTGTACGTAACCTGGACACGGTGTATTCCACGAAGTGGTTCTCGTTTATTAATAAATGCATAGCAGTCCTTTTCAAAGTGGGGGAGATGAGGTCACTTGTTTTGCAACTGCAGATTGTTTATTGGTCAAGTAACATAAAAGACTGGATCTTTCTTAGGATATAAATTCCAACACAAATTCACAAAAGACTAGTTCAGTCCAAAGACTTCTTTCTATTTTATGGCACAAAATGGAGAATATGAATATTGAAGCTAATATTATTGATATTGCAAACAGGGCATTACCACTTCTTGATCGAGAAAAATATCCAGCTCTACATGAGTTTATATCACAAATCGCAAGAGAAGGAATAGAGGTTATACGGAATAATTTGCCCTATTGCTTCACAGTAGTGTATGCTGTAGGTTCGGTGATTTTTGCTCAAGATTTCAGCGCTCATCCAATAGTAGCACTACACGAACTAAAGCTAGATCTTGAAGCTTTCAAGAAGCTTCGTATTAAACTTGATTTTAAACACATTCTTAAGAAATTCAACACTATCCAAAGCATCAAGAGGGAAGACAAGAGACTTGATGCTCTTTGCAAGCTCAAAGAGGATGAAAGTTTCATGGAAGAGTTCAACAAAGCCCTTCGGTCTGCAAACGAATTCCGGGAAAAGCTAAAACAACAAATCAATGAAATGGCTCGTAAACAAGTAGTCAACGATATTTGGCTTCTAATGTCCGTATTTGGTTTGTGTGGATTAGCAGTTGCTACTCTGAAAGATGCTTATGATTCATCCAGTTTATCCGATGCATTCAACAATTTTGCAAGAAACACAGTAATGCTAATTGCTGGATTTAATATTGCCATAACTGCAAGAAGTCAATCCTCTTACAAGGAAGCAATAAATAGATTTTGCGAAGCAAGTGACACAGCTTTAATGCACGAAAATCACTTAAGAGAGGCTATGCTGGAAATAAAGACGGCAAGCGCTAGTAAGGTGGTACTCGATGCCCTCGAATCTAGGAAAGTTGAGGCTCTAAATGAAGACCTCAGTAGCCATAGGCCGCAGGAAGGGAACTGAGACCGGAGAGACTTTCCCTAAGATATTGTTAGATAGACCGATTGATTAAGTCAAATAAGAGGGTATTATGTCACATGAAATAATCACAATCTGCATGTATGATTTTTTTGGATTAATTGATTGGTTGCATGAGTTTATGTTAATTCAAGAACTGAATGGAATTGACATTTGACTTTGATCTCCCAGAAAGATCTTTAACAACTTTAGAAGATACAGCAAGAGCAAAAAGCTACAAACGCAAACCCTGGCGGTGAATCGAACTCACGCGGCTTGCTCTCCTCAAACACTTTGCTATCTATGTCTAGCTAGTCATCGCTGAGTCAGTCATCACTTTTACAATACAACACAGTTTCACTAAGTATATAATAGCAAAAAATACAAATAAAATAACACCATAAAACCACAGTTACTTGTTATTCTTCTCAATGAGACAGGTTATTTCTGAGTTCAAGTCCTTCTTTTGTCCTTTTTGTCCTTCGTTCTTTGTCGTCCTGTGTTTGTCTGTTTTGCGGTTCCCATCTAAGCGTTCTAACATTGGATCTTACAAAAATTGTAATAATGATTAAAGTCAAATTCTCATACCCATTTCTAGTTTAATTTGATAATTGATTAACATATCCCGAGACTGAAGTAATAAGAGAAAGCATTGAAAACGTGTACTATATAACTGATAACAGTTTTGAGTTAATGACAATTGAATCTTTTTACCTTTTTTATCCCTGATCTTTTTACCTAAATGCTGAAAAAAGGGTAAAACCCAGCCACCATGTAATTAAAATAACAAAACTCAAGAAATGTAATATCGATCAGGATAGATTTCTTAGAGTGACACTATCCTGAGATGATCAATAATTTTTGCGAAGGGAAGGTGCAGAATCAACTTTCATCGGGCATGTGCACTACATTTCAAAAATATTTGAAGAATTCAGAAAAGGTAACTGAAAAGTTTTCTTTGTTCTTAAAGTCCAACTTGCAAGAAGAATTAGGAGATCTTTGTTCATGAATAACAAGGAAGGAATAAAAGGTTAAGAAAATGCATAAAACGTTGCGCAAACACTGTATACAAGAAAAGTTTCTAGTATATTTTCATAAAGATAATGGAGGAGAAAGAATGAGAACATTTCAATATTCCAGTCTTATGAAATTTCTGACAAGACCCTTTTCCACCGAGTTATGAAGCATAGACTTTAGCTCGTAAGGGTTGGAAACTTAGCTTAATCACATTATCAGCTTAATTTTGAAAAAAAATTGAATTAAAAAAAATAAAATTGTGCAGACAGCTGAAAAGTTTATTATTATTATTATTATTTATTATTTAGTAAATCAAGAGATATAGCTCTCCGGCCATCCCTTCTTAAGAATATTAGTCAAAGYGTTCTTTGTTATCAACCCCATGATTTCCTGGGTTTCAGTCTTAGTGTTACTWAGTCGGGTTGTCTTTCGTCCTCCATCTCCAAATTTAATTGCCCTTTCTTTCATTCTTTGAAACGACCACCAGGTCTTCTTTGGTGCGTTGTCATTATTCAAGTTTTCTTTCAGTCGATTTGTAATATCTTGCTGGTAAAAAGTGATGTGTCCGAATGGTTCTGCCATTCCCGCCAGATGGTCGGCTGCCTCATTATACGTGATTCCCGCATGACCTGGGATGTAGGCGATTCGTATTGAAGATTTAATTTTCCTCAGCAGTTTCAGCCATGTATTTTTTACCATTCCAGATTGCAATTGTGCTACCAAACTTTTAGAGTCCGTTAGGAGCAGTGTAGTATCTTGGACAGAGGTATTATTTGACATCCAAAATAGAGCATCCTCTACTCCTTCCATCTCTGCACGAAAGGAACTAGTCCTACCATGTTTTCCTGCACACCACTTATAAATGCACCGGTTATTTTTCCATACAAGCCCCGCCCATGCTGTTACGTCCTCTCGTACCGATCCGTCCGTTGCTATGATGATGTTAACATTGACGGATTCAATGTACTGTTCTACTTCGGCTTGATTGATGATTGGGTTTCTATCCCTCCACTCCCTACTTCCAACGATATCAATTGCTAACCT